TCACCACCGTCAACATAACATGACAGCTATGTGTTACAGTGGATGTTTATTTGTTTTTCACATCATTAGATGAATCACTTGTTCTTGTTAGTAATCCTGTAATTGTAACTTAATTAACAAGCACGATCGCTCAATTTGTCGATTACGTCATTGGCAGCTGGAAAATCAATTTCTTCGACACGACGTCGGCACAGTGCAAATATGAACAGGTGATCAGTGATCGTCATCGACGGTACACAACACAGTACACAGTGATGTGTGTTAGTGATAGTGTTGTGTAGGACCGATGCTGTTTACTTCTCCATGCAGCCGTCCCCCGGCCTCTCTGAGGAGACTGGTCAACCGTAGATGGACCTTCTGGCAGTCCAACAAACATCCAGGTGATAGCGTCGGATATAATACATTACATCGAAATCTAACCATTCACTCATCGATCTACCCATTCATGGGCCACGTGGAAAAGATTCTTATTAATGTTTACTTATGTTATAGATGTTATTAACCATCTTTACAGTATGTTTTGTTACTTGGGAACACTGATTTTTATACGAAACAATCTTATAAGATCTATAACATTTTTAAAAAACTAGTTATAAAGTGTTTTTTAAACATATGAACTGTAAATTTATGCACTGTAACCTTACCAAAAGATATTATTTGTTCGCCAATATCTCTTGAACGACCTTGAAGGGCTGAATTTTTTAGTCTTTAATCACCTTCGACCATCAGTACTACTCCACATACCATAACGCACACAAACACACAACGTTGTATTAGTCAAAGCACATAACACACAATTCCGTCATCATACGTTGTTTTCTAGGACGTTTTTGTGTTATCATATGTGTACGTAATGAGCGTAGCCCTTGAAATTCACCTATCAACTGTACAATACCGCGCCTACAGTCATTTAAAATCACCTTTATAGATTGTTCGAAAACATAATTTTATGCTCTCCCTTTTCTGATATTTACGTTGCTATCTTTACTGCGTGTAGTTGACTCCGGCGATGTGACAACAAGACCTTCAGTGGTTTTATGATTCAACTGATGTGATGACTTTAGTGGTACGTGGTACGGCCAGGGTCGTCATTTGGAGGGGGCAGGGGGGTATTTGCCCCCCCCCCCTGATCCATGGAATAGAGAAATAAATATGCTGTACTGGCATATTTTTTCATAATCTTTTACATTTAAAATACAGTACCAGTAGCTTATCTTTAAGTCCATCTTTTTTGTTTCAAAACTGCTAAATTTTCCCCGCAACCCCCCTCATTGGTGGGAAGGATTTGATGAAATGACACCACTGGATACGATTCAACTCGCCCAACATAAAACTATCAATTTCAGTAGTGTACACTACAGTAATTGGGTCGCACGACTTACACATTATAAAACAGTGGGTGTTCACGGAGTTTTGATGGTTGTTGTGTCACATGATCGCATGTTCGATGATGAGGTGGGTTGTGGCTACGCGGACATCGGCCTAACTGTAGTGTATCCGGTCTGGTCATTGCCATTGGCACACTGTAGGTTACCTAGTCCGAGATCGAACTGTGGTACTGTATCACGTATCTACTGTCACTTGAGGGACATACAGGCACACAAGTAGCGCACTCCATAAATATGGATGGCGGATCTGACGGTGGGATTCCAGGAAGGGAGAAATCCTTAACCGTCCGAGAAAGATGACTTGTCCTGAATGGTGTCCGGAAAGCTGTGCTCACGAAAATATGAGTGCTGAGATTAGCTCACGGCGTTCAAAGAGGAGAGGGGTATGAGAAAAAAAAATAACTCAACGCTTTGTGAAAAACAATAATTATCCTGTTTTGGCCATCAATTAGCTAAATTGCATGATTGCATATACACAATGTATACACAGACAATGTATTAGGTTATATTACAAATTACACTGAATACTTGTATTTGATCCAAAACATATACTGCATTGAACTTATCCGAAATATGAAAAGGCATTATATTCTTGACAAGGATCTGAAACAATCGTCATCTACCCTTATGTTGATATAGAGCATGTATTAAACATCACTAGACGAAATCATGGTAAATTAACCTCTTATTTATGTTTAAGTGATTCGAGACAACACAAAAATGAAACTGAGATTAATTCCTCTATACCGGTCACGCTGGTCTTTCCCGAACCGTCCTGACTGCACTCGCACTGACAGAGACAGAGAAGCAGTTGACATCCTGCCTGTCTGTCTGTCTGTCCAGTGTGTAGTGATGTTTTGATGTCCTCGCGCCTCCCTTCATTACCATAACACTTGTGTATTCAGAGTCTAGCACGGTTTTTGTCCCACGTCTATTGTTAGACACCTCTGCAGCTCACAAACACTTGTACATTGCCTGTTTCGACGTTTCTCCAAAAAAGTGCCAAGAGTTTTGGTGGTTTTTGTTTATTAGGCTAATGATCTTGTCGTTGCATTGAACCAATTATAACGACATGTTTTGTTATTTTTGGTTATTTGGGTTATTTATTGTAGATGAACCTGGATTTATAAGTTCAGTTTAGTGTTGAATATATTCCAAGCATACAACCCTAATCCTTTATTCATATTTGGTAATGTCATTGAATGATTGCGCACAAGGGTAATATATCGTCGTTTAGGCTGCTTTGTACTTGTAACAACATTTGTACTGTAAACTATACACCATATAGGCTAGGCCTACTTAAAAATTAAAACCTTTATAGTAGCCAATCTCCTAAACCAACCCTGGATCAACCGCTGCTCGTATTAATCGCCTCTGTCCAGGAATAAAATATTGCCCGGTTTACCCGCCATGCCTTTTAAAACTGATTGGTTTTGACTGTTTCCTTAAATTTATAGAATTCCGTTTCTATATACTGTATTGTAGTTATAATGAAAACCCTTGTTTATCCGGGTAGGTCTACGTTTTTTTACGATAGGTACGGATGGAAACAAATCAGAAAAAATTCTTCTTCAGCCTCGGGTCGTGGTAAGGGTCGGTTGAAAACCCGTACTATAAGGTTCCCTATTTAAACGAAGTTAACTCGTCATGAATAATGTTCGGTCGGAAATTGATAAATTACTTCCACAGACACCGTTGTAAGGTGTGTAATCGAGTATGTTAGATGGTTGGACAGTCGTCTCCTATATCACATATCATGAGTCTACCGTCGCGGTCATCGTATCCGTATCGCGGTCAACTCTGTAACCAAAGCTGTTATAGAACATGTCGGTGTCATTGCTCATGATCTTTCAATTTTACTCTCATATATCATGTGTTCGGTGGAACGATATTTCGTCTCTAAAATATCGACGAGAGATCTTATTATTATTTGACTCACACTCTACTGAGTAATATTCAAAGTAAATAATTAAAGCTTCCGTTACTCTAAATACGATATCTATTGCTCCTTATTAAAACGAAAATTATTTAAACAAATGAAGTCCAAATTTAGTCACGTTTGTATTTTACTGTTTTACAATAATTATTATTAGGAATTGTACTACTGTAGTCAGTTTGAACATGTTAAAGAAAATCCCTTGTTCCTTGTTGTTGGTTAATATAAAATAGAAACACGATAGCCGATGGATATTTTATTTAGAATTTTATTGATTTGGTTCGCCCTACAAGGGGCTCTGTTGAACAAAATATTGTACTACCAGTTAGGCAATTAGATGTGGACATAAAATAATTTAGAAAGTAGTTCCTCAAATCAATAAGTAATGTCTGTAGTTTATTTGAATCAATTTTTTTTATCGCGTGCCTTGATTTTTTGCTTATCGTCATCGTTGCAGTTATATTCTTGGGGATTGTATCTATATAATTAATACGCTACATGAAACTTTGTCGGTTGAACTCCTCCCCCATTTCTTAACCGATTTTATCCCTTGACGTCTCATTGGAAAGAGAGTGTCGTGTAGATTTGCAAACTGGCTTTACATTTTTGAAAAGGTCCCTTGGGCTCTGCCCCAGTGGCTTTGAAAGTTCCCATGTTATCCTTATGAAGAACATAATTGTTTACATTTTAATCAGCTGTATAATTTAATTGCTGTTATTTATTTTTCAATTCAATGAAACGCATCGAGCACATGTAAACATAACTCCCAGGACGGATCGTGTTAGTATGGTTGTATCTTAAATTTATGTATCTATCGTTGTTTTGTGTCGCTATGACGGATCGTGTTAGCGTGATTGTAACTTAAATGTGTGCATTTATCTTTGTTTTGTGTAGCTATAATTTGTTTATTTTTTTTTTTTCTTTTGAATGCCTCCGACGCGACGACAACGAAACATAGACAGGAGGCGTAATTGTGATAACGACCACAGCTACAGAACAGTGGCGCGTAATAGGCTTAACTCATCACAGTCAGCACCTGACCCTGGAAAATCTCAACTAAGGTTACAAATGCGCCTTATAACACCACCCCAAAACGACTTTTCGTTTTCAATTGGCCCTCTATCGATGACCTGTGTTGCCTTTACAGCGAGGCATTTTGAGAAGGAGAAAACCGGCCGGAATGCTTTAAATTTATCAATAACGAAGATAAACATGGTCTGAGCTACACACCGGTAATCTTTGAGTTGACTCTTTTAAACTCATTGTAAATATGACTGTTATTAGTGTTTAAATAACTCCTGTAATACTTTGCAATTGCTCGAATTCGAGCAACATGCACACTAGTTTGAAATTAAATGCTGTAGGCTTTGTTTGTTTCGGCAACAATGTATAATGGCGAGTCAACACTCAACACACCGGTTACACGTACTTAAAATTCTCCTGGGGGTTATCTTTCGGAAATATCTTCCATTCCTTTGATATCTGTATTCACCGAGTGGAGTGTACTGGTAGAGGTGGGGGCGGCTGAAGGCAGAAGCGACGGTGCGAGTGCCTTACTGTTTTGTTGTGACGCAACCAGAGGTCGTCACTTTCACCTTCACCGCTCGTTGCTCGTCTGCCTGGTTGTGGTTGTAGTAGTGTAGTAGTAGTGGTTGATGGTTGTGTACATGTTGCAGGAGCCCCGTCCACCCCAGTCATGCCTGGTGGAACGCCCGCCCTCAAGACCAAGGTAAACAACCCTCCACTCTATCTAGGCTATTTCTATTACTAACCTGCCCCTGCACAGCATATCTACCCTCCAACGACGTGATAGAAGGGGTGGTAGTAAGTAGTATTGACTGATGAGAGTGAAATCCTCTGTAGTGGACGGAGTGTGAAATAAATAGGTCTAATGGATTCATGTTTACTCTCCAAGGGTTGACTGTCATTTATTCGATTATTTACTTTTTTGTGTAGGCCTACTGTGGGGTTAAAATCAGTAGCCTACATAAGGTTAGGGTTGAACATTGTTGTTAATAGTATGTCTTATAATGTACTTTTATTATATTTGTAAAGTATAATCTTAAAGATAATCTTTTGAGGTTATTTTCCAACAAGTATTAAAATGTCAACCACGTACGCCTGTCTTGTCTTCTATTAGTTTCTTTACACAAATAAGGTTAACATATTATTACTTTCATCCACCAATAACATAAAAACTTAATGATTTGGGCAACAAGTTTTATCGTCGTCTATAAAAAAACCTTGGTTTGTCTATAACTGTTTGGTATATACTCAAAAGTAAAATACTGTAACTTAGCAACGTTATAGATAAACTAATTTATTTCACGTGGACGTACGTAGGCGTATTTGATTTACAACAATATGCAGGCTTGTTGCAAACTTACTGTACCGTTACATTCAACAACTCTCAAAATTCAAAACAGAAACCAAGTCTTTCCTGACAAAAAATGGTTTTTATGATGTGGAAGATTTTCTAAATTTAAAAAACAGAGCCCTTTGGCCTAGGATGTGATTTTATTATAAGTTATTTTTTATTATTAGCCTATTACTGTATACCTATTGACCTGTCCAATTCCTGCCCTGGACTACGGACGGAAACTACAAGTATTCAAGTATTCAAGTATTACATTGTCACAGCCACAGTGATCACAACACCACAGAGTCGTGTCTCTGTAGTCTGTTTACACAAGTCTTTAGTCTGTCGCTCACCTGTTTTGCAAACGTCCCTGACCCGACCTGGGAACCAGGGAAAGGCCCCTCCTCCCCTCCCCTTAACTACCCTACCCTACACGTGCCTAACAGCTGATCTGTTGATTGATTCTGGGAGTTATTAGTCTTAGTCCTTGTTTTAAGTGAGCTGATCTTATAGAATCTTTGCTTTTTTAGCTTAGTTAATAGTTTGGTTTTAAATAATGGTTATCACTGGATTTAATTTCTTATTAATGATAATATAGAACTAATAAACAAGGTATTATTTTTATCATACAATTTTTTTTTAAAGTCTGAGCAAATAAATAGTTTGATTGTAAATCAAGGTGATTTATTATATTATTTATATTATAACATTTTTGAAATTTTTACCAATCATGAACATAAACAAATATTTTTTAAATTTATTCCTTTGTGCAAAAAGGTCTTACATTAGAGTATTTTTGTATTGTTCCTGGAAACACTTAGGCCTATTTGTTCCATTGGTCTTAAAATGTTTTCAAACATAAAAAAATAGGTATTTAGTTTGCTATGTGTGTGTCAGTAACTTTGTTATATTTAAGGTAACAAGTTAAAAATTTATTTGAATACATTAATCTATGTAATGTATTATCTTACTGCTGATAATGGCAGATATTATTTTCTCACTACAGTACTTGATGTAACAATTTTGTTGTTACAATTATCCTTAATTAACCCCAAGAATCCTTTCAATAAGGTAAATATAGCATATTATCAAGTATAATTGGTTCCAGTTACCAACAATTTGGGATTCAAGTTATCCTTGGTCAAGTGACCTTAGCTAATTTAGAGTAAAATAAGATTGAATAATGTTGAAAAATAAACATGTTAATTAAACCCATTGTTGAGAGTCTCAAAGGGGTTAATTAGTTCTAGGAAACCAAATTATTAGGATACATTATTAGTTTTTAAAACAATTTACTAAACTGATAATGCCACAGACCAGTGAGTCGAATCATGCCATTTGCTTAGAAAAAAGTCTTTTAGTAAAATTAACTTCCATTTGATGGGATTTACTATTATTAATTTTATACTAATAAGTTTCCTACAAAAAAAGTTGAATTGAGTATTACCTAGGTTTATATTAGGTATAACCATAGACAAAAAGAATTAAATATTACATAGCGCTGTGTAGTTTACGTAGCGCGTACACCGTAACTACATGACGCTCCCAGCGGTGTGCACCAGAACCTATGGTAACCGCAGCACAGCTGACTGTCTATATTTAAATCTTGTTGTCTATGGTTTAACGTGGCTGTTTGGCTGTTTTACTCTTGGTAATAGTATGCAATAATGATGAGGTGTGCGGTTCTATCATTACCTGTAGGTTGATGAGTAATTCTATTGTAGAGATGTCCTGCAGGAGACATTGAGTGATGGTTCAACATGCACATCCTGTCTTGTACATCAGTCTCACACAATCATTGGCATAGTGAAATGTCATGAAATTATTTGAAATTTAACTATTCAGAACTTTGATAAGTATTTATTTTTTACCTTTGACTAAAAAAATATTACGTTGGCAGGATAACCTTGTACTTACCTTAAGAGTTTAATTCAAGGTACTACATTGCATTTGGTTTTTTAGATTTTGGTTATTAAAACTGGTGTTGCAATTTGTCAGGATTTAAAGGTACATAGCTTCCAATTGCACCCAATAGTGCAACTACTAATGCTGAGTAAATTTTCAAGTGTGCTACTGATGGATCTAAATATAGTATTTAGCGCGGAATTTTTACTTCTAACCTTGTTTTACATTTTAGTTTTCTGATTTTAGGTTACAAAATATACATTTTTTTTTACTAATTTGTTATAAGATGCTGATCAGTTTCCTGAAAACATGATGTATTTGTCTTACAAACTGCTATAAATTATAAACACAACAGCTTTACACACATTATCTATGTTATAAATTCTTCTATGACATTCACTATTCAAATTTTGCTCATTTAGACTCATCCAATATAATGTTAAACCGTTGATAATTGAATAACTGATACTTTTAATTTAATTTTTTACTTTAAGATCATGTTTGTTGTATTAAACCAAGTGTTTGTGTTAATCTCTTCAAACACATTTATAATCTCCAAATGCACCAAGACCAGGGTTTATTATTATATTGCAGACTTGTGTTTAAACTACCACTCTCTCTGTTGCAGCAAGATCAGATGGTCAGGACCAAGGTCGTGGTGGCTCTGTATCCATTCAAGGCGATCGAAGGAGGCGACCTGTCTTTAGAAAAAGTGAGTTTTACAATTCATCGTCTTTTTTAGGATATTCTTAAATCAAATACTAAACGAAAATTGGATTTAGGCCAATTTAATGTCCAACTGAACACAGTTTCTTAAATTTACAAGATAAGCTTAGCACATTGTAGCTGTTTCTTAAAAATGTTCCCGTATTTTAAAATTTGGATCTCTTTGTTAATATAGTCTCTACAGCTTATGATCACAATGTTCGCATATTCTGTGCACTTTCAAATAAACAGAACTCGTTAATGCTGAGTGTTAAAAATTTATTGGTAGCAATAGAATCTTATTCTGACAATCCATCAATTTAGAATATTTATAACAATTTATTTTTCTTATACAAGGTAGTTGAAGGTGGTTAAACAATAAAGCTATGTTTGTTGGTTTTCTGCTAAAAATCTCATTAACTGTTTTAAAATAAGAGTTTAATGGTTGACCGGTTTTGGTAAAAGTTTTTATAACTTACTCAGTGATATGCGACGATATATCCTAGTGTGTCTTTTTCCTGAAAAGTGCTATGGAGCGATATATCGTTGTTCGCGTTTCATCCGAAAAGTGCTAAGCGACGATATATCCTGCCGGTGCAAATAAGTCTAGCACTTTCAGAAAATTACAAAAAAATTCTAGCATTGAAAGGGTTTAACGTACCAGTTGTGTTTTTAGTTTGTGTTGTGTAGCAGTCACGACCTTAACCACAAACCCTAGGCACCCCTCTTTGTTCAGTCTCTTTACTTCCTCTTCCCTTTTCTAAGACACATTTCGGTATTTTCTAAAGCTCTTTTTGTTGATTGTTGTTTTGGTTAAAAGTGTTGGATTTAGGGATGTTCTACTGTATTACAATTTTGAATACCGTAGGCCTACATGAATATTCATTTGAAATTGATGCAACTTTTATCGTCTCAGTTTGCAACAGGCAGTAACAAAATATGTTTACAGGGTGCTGAGTACGAGGTACTAGATGACTCACAGGAGCATTGGTGGAAAGTGAAGGATGATAATGGGTGAGTACACACATTGCATGCTATATTGTAACTGTACTCTAGGTATTTGAAGCAGAGATCAATTTATATTTGAATAGTACTTACTGACTTTCTTAGTTAGAATTTAATAAATTACGTTAACTTACTGTGTTTTATACTTGTTTATATTCATCTTTCAAAATAAAAGATTCACTGCACTATCTGCTAGCTATGCAAACTGAGTTTTGTCAAGAGTGATCCCGAAATTGGATATAAAGAATACAAATAATGCTGACACATAAAATGTTCATGCAAAAATAATAATTCTTAAAAGTAAATGTCTAAGTAATACTTAAAAATCTGAATGGCCCCAATGTATAACGTCTTACTGTCAACAAAATAATTTTTCAGGAAGTCCATAAAACTGATTCTAGTTTTTAGATGTATTTATTTAGTTTTATTCCAAAATTGCATTAGTTTCATCTAGTTACCTGTATTTACAAATTGTAATATCCATATCATGACAGTAGAAATGTTGGTATTTAACATAAAAAAAGAGACAAGAGGAAAACCTTCTGATGTTGGTTGCAGCGTTTTTCTACCTCAGCCTTAGCTTTGTAGTTGGTTAGAACGTTTTTATACTCACCTGTAATGTTGTTTGCTATGGAAAGGTTTGGAGGAAGACACACTTGACTAAAACAGTTGTTGTTTATTATAAGAACTTGTACAGTTGTGTTGCTCATATGGCTTTCTTTATAGATCCACCAAAAGATGTTCATTTATTTGAAACAAATTGAACACACATTTTTACATATCATTATACACCATGCTGCAAAAGCCTGACATGGCTTGTCTGCAGCTCATTAAACTAAAGGGAAATCAAGTCCAAACTCTTATCACTTCCATCAGTCAGTGTTTGTGTCCTCCTTACCTCTCCAGTCTGTTATCACAATCATCATGAAGTCCCAAAAATCTGCAGCCAAACTTCTATGCTACTTTGAAAACTCTTTACAATAAAACAAAAACCCAATTTGATTACAAAAATTGAAATTCTTTAGTTGTTCATTGTTCATGACAACCATAATAATAGGCTAAATAAAGCTGAATAGGCTGCCACTGTCCTAAAATGATTAAGTTTACTCACTTTTTCAATAGCTTTCCTTTAATTTTTATCTTTACCCTCCATAAGTCAAACATAGAGGCAATCGCAAGTCGCACATGTGTCTGACATTGACGCATTGAATCTCAGTTTGAATTCACTATTATATATGTCTCGGTATAGGATCTGATAAAGTTTAGGGTACTGAGTATAGATTCACTTTGACCGCAATGAATATGTGGTACAAAACAGTTGCCACCGTTTTTACATGTTCAAGTCAAACGTTTTATTTAGCTTTCCCTCCGTGAGTAATGATTATCCTGGCTAGTAAATTAGTGAACTGAACATGCTCTCTTGCAAGTTCTTTTATCTAATTTAGAAATGTAGGTATGTAGTTTACCATGTGTTCAACGGCTATCTCAAATGACATTTGTAGTATTTTGTATTAGGTACAAAAATAATAATCTTTTTAATTTTTGTTTCAGATCCATTGGTTACATTCCAAGCAATTATGTTAAAGAAAAAGAACTTTTAGGCCTACAAAAATATGAGTAAGTATGAAAATATAAATTTAAAATATCTGAGAATTTGGCAGTAGTTTTACTATTCAAAATATGGGTTATGAATGTATAACATCTATTAACAAGTTTGCTGCGGCTGCGTGATGGCTGGCTGCTGTCGGGAACGGGGACAGCTAATGCTCTGAATATGGTTGAGCGCGTGAATATGTTTGAATTCAGTTTCATCCAATAGGAGAGGCATATTTTACAGGGTGTCTAGTAGTCAGGAAAAATGGGAAAGTCGAGAATTACTATTGAATTTCAAAATGGTCTTGAAAAGACGGGATTTTGTCTTTATTTTGATATCAAAGTCGGAAATTTTAATGATTTTGCGTTCAATCGTGTAAGACGACGATCACATTTTCGTGACAGCGAGAGATATTCATGATTTTTCCTACAGTTACCTAACAATGTACATGTTCTCTCACTGATTTGAGGAAGCAAAGTGGCCAATTCGCTCATCAGTGAGACAATGTTAACATTGTCTCAATGTTAACATTGTCTCAATGTTAACATTGTCTCACTCTAATTACTTTGTCTCACTCAAGATTTGCAACGTGAAGGCACGAAATAGTGAGCGCGTAAAATGCAGACAAGGTCGTATGCGCGCGAAATACGTTGGCAGCACTGGCTGTAAATCAGCTGGTCAGCTGTTGTACTGTTGTATTTGTGACAGCATTAAATGTCATATTAAAAGTTCACTTCCGTGTAAAAATATGTTAAGTTTCTTTACCAATTTATTTGTTTTATGGTAACTGTAGGAAAAATATATGTGCAATTCGAGTTCAAAGTGCAATTGCCTCACTCGAGAAACCATTCCTCACTCGCCTACGGCTTGTGAGTAAGAATTTCTCTCGAGTGAGGCAATTGTTCACTTTGCTCACTAGTTGCACAAATAACTATTGCTCTGATCGTGATAGAAAGCAATCACCTTTTCATGACCGCAGGAGACGATGATAATGTCTATACGGCCGGGGGAGATAAATAGAATTTTTTTGCGATCATGTTTTTGTGACCGCAGGAGATGTTCACGATTTTGCAGAGATCGCGCTAGACTTTTCATAATTTTGCCGCAATTGAGCAAGATTATGATCACGTTTTCGTGACTGCGGGAGACAATGATGATGTCTACAGGGCTGTAAAGATGTTCATGATTTTGCCGCCATCGTGCTAGATGACGATCACGTTTTCGTGACCGTGGGAGATATTTATGTGTTTGTTTACCAGGAAAAGCTTCATGCCAATTTCAGTTGTGTTGTTTATGCTGTGTTATAAACAAAGTCCTAATAGATCGTATGCACTTTATTAATCTTTACTGTAAAACAATTAGCGCCAAATTCTAAAACATTTAGCTACGTTTAAAACTGACAACCCTTCTGTTTATATGAAATAGTAGTTATGGTTACTTTGTGATATTTAATCTGATGTTTGTTGTTTTGCAGATGGTACGTGAGGGACATGTCCAGTTATGATTACTTTGTGATATTTAGTCTGATGTTAGTTGTTTTGCAGATGGTACGTGGGGGACATGTCCAGTTATGATTAATTTGTGATATTTAGTCTGATGTTAGTTGTTTTGCAGATGGTACGTGGGGGACATGTCCAGACAAAGAGCCGAGTCATTGCTCAAACAAGAAGACAAAGAAGGCTGCTTTGTCGTCAGAAATTCCTCCACTAAAGGCCTCTACACCCTCTCTTTATACACTAAAGTGTGAGTAACCAAAATCACTTTAAATTTAATAGATAGACTACTGATAAAGTATTAGGCAAGTAAAAATTCATCCAAAAGTAATTCAAAGACAAGTACTTAATTAGTGTGAGAAAAATCTGCCTTTAGGAGTTTGTAACTACATATTATTTACTCAACGGTAAATATCAACAGCTTTATTGTTAATCCTGCAAGTTTAAATCTATTAATCTTTTAAAAATGGGCAAGTGGGATCCTTGTGCAAATTTCAAATTTTGCGGTTCAAAACTGGTTTCCAAGGCAAAACTAATAACATACCCTTTTATTTTCAAAGGTACTGCTGGTGCAGATAATGGAAATGGTATATGTAAATTCTTGCATATAGGTTAAAGATCACAATATTTTTGCACAAGTGAAACTTATTTGCAACTAAGAATCAGAGAAAAATAGTTTTGAATCTGTTTCAGTCCACACCCTCATGTTAAGCATTACCACATAAAGCAGAACTCGCGAGGGGATTTCTTCCTGTCAGAGAAGCACTGCTGTACCACCATCCCTGACCTGGTGAACTACCACCGGCACAACAGCGGGGGGTTGGCCAGTAGACTCAAGACATCACCTTGTGATAGACCAGTGCCAGCCACTGCAGGCCTCAGTCATGGTAAGCACCTGGTTTCTGGTCTCTTTGTAGACAAGAAAGACTTTGTTTACAGAAGGTCATCTGTGAAATCAGCTTGTGAAATTTACTGAACACTGTTATGGTGCTTAAAAAATAATTATGGGTTTCTTTAGTATATCAATCTAGCCACTCTCCTACTCACAGGCAATAGACTTTCCCACTTCAATAATTTTGTTAGTGTGAATCAACTCTACCAACAACCTCTATTATACGGTCTATGGTAAAATTTATGAATTAATTATTTACACAAGATGCATTGTAATGAAGATATGTGTGATATTCCACAATCTATAATAGGATCAAAATAAATAAGCTTAAATCAACTGCTTGATAAGTTAACATACAAGTATGGATAACATATTTAATGTTGTCAAAGTACCGCAATGATAGAACTATTAGCACGTTCAATGATGATGAAATGATAGTCTACATGTCAGGGGCACAGTGGAGGGGCTCCATTAATACTACAGTCAAGATGACTCTTAAATGCCCAAAGTTTAGCGGAAGATGGTTCTCTCCAACTGTTAATTGTTTTAGGCTTTGCTTGGTCTTGTTTCACGTTTTTAATGTAACTTTCAGACTGAATCCGTTTATACTGCAGCTAAGATAACTAACTAATAATGGTTGATATTTCAGACAAGTGGGAGATAGACCCTGCGGAACTGATGTTGCTGGAAGAGCTGGGCTCTGGACAGTTTGGTGTTGTGCGGCGAGGCAAGTGGCGGGGCTCCATTGATACTGCAGTCAAGATGATGAAGGAGGGAACCATGTCTGAGGATGATTTCATTGAAGAGGCTAAAGTTATGACGTGAGTGTAAAAACTTAAGTATAGCTCCTGAATTTCACACAATTGTACATTTTAATGGTTGGTTTTACTATAGAAATGTTTGCTGCAGTGCTAAAAATAATTTAGGCATCATATAGATAACATTGCAAAATAATTAGGAAGCAACCAAAAAAAGGGACAGTAAAAAAACACTATAATGGAACATAGATAAAAAACTATATATATTTTTAAGTATTTAGATGAAGAAAATTATATATTTAATAAGTATTTAGAAGAAGGATAAGGAGGGAACCATGTCTGAGGATGATTTCATTGAAGAGGCTAAAGTTATGACGTGAGTGTAAAAACTTAAGTATAGCTCCTGAATTTCACACAATTGTACATTTTAATGGTTGGTTTTACTATAGAAATGTTTGCTGCAGTGCTAAAAATAATTTAGGCATCATATAGATAACATTGCAAAATAATTAGGAAGCAACCAAAAAAAGGGACAGTAAAAAAACACTATAATGGAACATAGATAAAAAACTATATATATTTTTAAGTATTTAGATGAAGAAAATTATATATTTAATAAGTATTTAGAAGAAGGTAAATTTAACAGGTTCAGAGTGGTTGCATGATGACCAGCCGCGGCTGGGTGCCGGAACAGCTAATGCGCTGCATGGATGATTACGCAAAAACGTTTAAATTTAGTTTCATCCAATAGTAGATGCATATTATAGTATGTACTGCGGTCCAGTCATTGTGGACATGATTTTAGAAAACACAACAGAAAGCAGCACTGAACAAAAGCACTAATGGGCCCTTACTATTGATTAATTGCCAAATGAAGGTCAAAAGCAGGGATAAAGTACCCTATACACCCTAAATATATATATATTTTTTTTCTAATAAAAAATACTACTAAGAAGGTGTCAATCACAATTTTGAGGTTAGGTTTCTTTCTTCCTCAATATACCTACACTATAGTCATTATTGTTATCCTCTTCCATGTCACTAAATCTAATCCAAACCGCACACTGCACTGTACAAAAAGCACTGACGCAGTAAGACAACAAATCGCCGATCCGAAAACAAATTGCACCAAAATGACATACGAAACTGGCACTACACTAGGCAACAATAACAATGTTCCCCGCAGAATGCTGGGCTCACACTGACTGTTTCTATCATGGGAGAGTTCGGTTTTGACCATGCAGCGCTCAGCACGCATCTGACGTCGGTTGAATTCAACCTCTCAGCAGTGTACACACGTGTTAAATTACAAGTGTTGACACTGTTAAATTTTAAGTAGATGCTATGTCTTAACACTTTGATCAAGGTCCAGCAAGGGATGGTTCATAATGTGCCTTGATAATGAGAGTTGCGACACTCTCGGATACTCATGGATAGATTGATAGGATAGTGAGTGATGTGTTTTGTCACTAACTGTACGAGGTATAATAGGTCACCTTATGACTAATTGTCTACAACTTCTTGATTACATGCTGAAAATGCGGATTATTTAATTCTATATAATGAGATTACATTTTTCTTTAACTCATAATGAATTTCTTTGACATATCTAGTGGATTTAGTTAAAACATTTGTGTATTGTTATCACATTGTCGATGTTTTTTTTCAGGAAATTGCAGCATCAAAACCTAGTACAGCTGTATGGAGTGTGTAGCAAACATAGGCCAATATATATAGTAACGGAATACATGAGGCACGGATCACTACTTAACTACCTCAGAAGACACGAGACTACATTGAGCTCCAACGTTGGCCTCCTGCTAGATATGTGCATACAGGTACCTATACGATGTTAGATTGTTAAACACATTCGCTGCGGCCCATCAATGGTTGGCGTAGCCCCAGTAAGACACAGAGTTGAAAGAATTGCCGGGCGATTGACTTTCAAATATTTCGGTCTGGCGAATAGCAAATAATGTGCGGTGATGTGCTGTGTTTCGGTGAGAGTCGACATAGTTCGCTAAAACACCCACAGATAGCAGCATGGCTTGGACCGTAGCCTGTCCCATTGTATTGCCAATTGGAGGGAGAAAGACGGGACAACAAGTTGATTTCTAAGCTTGCCAGACAGGGACTTTACAGGGAAATTAACTACCAACTTTCACCACAATTATAGACTGGTATTAGAGACACAAAATGCGTACCAACCGTTTTCGGCAAAAGCTTGAGCCGCAGTGAATGTGTTAAATAAAAAAAAAACCCGGGAAGGTTATTAATATTTGGTATATACTACATTAAATTGGTGTTAAAAAAATGTATAGTTTGTCATTGTTAATAAATTCATTTAAACCCCCAACACAATGGTTTTTGTACAAATGTATTCATATATGTTAACTGTGAAGTAGTACTTGGTGACTATAGTCTGTGTACTTCTCTAATTAGTCACTGCTGAAAATGATCATAATTGCATTCCAAATTTGCCACATACACACAATGAAACAATCACAAATTCTGTAATAGTCCACGAAGCTAGACTCAATGAACACAAAAACGAAATGGTGGGAAATAATCTATGCGCACAAGTGATACAAACCTCTCCTGTAAATGCTGAGCTCACACTGAAGCAATGAAATGCAAGTTGGATAGAGGTGTGGATCTGTGCCTTGCGCGGTTAAAGTATAATTGATATGCAAACAACTAGCTGTATCAAGATTATATTTATATCAATCAATCAAATATTCTTTATTCACAAAGTTTAGACAATATGTCTTGATCAAATATAACTTTAGCGAATTCAGTATAGTCTTTTAATCTTAAGTTAAATTCTTGCTAAACCCACATGGAATGTTTTACAATAAAAAATTAATTTATTTGTGTTTCTACTGACATTTCAATGGTATTACAGGTTTGTAAAGGTATGGCCTATCTGGAAAGGCACAACTACATCCACAGAGATCTAGCGGCTAGAAACTGCTTGGTCGGCTCAGAAAACGTTGTCAAAGTTGCTGATTTTGGCTTAGCAAGGTTAGTTTGTGTGTTAATACAGTAGACTCCGTCTTATCCGGACACCTTTTAACCGGACATCGGTTTAACCGGACTGCACTTGTCGGAAATGACATCTCTTTAACTGGAGAGTTCTTATCAACACATCGGTTTAACCGGACTAGATTGGCAGGAAGTGGGCTGTACTGCAACGACTGTTCTCGTGGGAAATATTTGAGACCAGTGATCACGTGTCTAAATACAATGCTCTTCAAAATTTAAGTAAAATATTTGGGTTACCTAACCAGTTTTTGGGGACGTCGGTTTAACCAGAAAACCTGTTATCTGGAGGAGTCCGGATAAGAGGGAGTCTACTGTATTTCCTCAACGTACATTTTAGGCCAACTGCACTATAGGGTTATATAACTACTTAATCCAAAATATATTTTCAAGGATTAAATTGATATACTATTTTTTATAATGAATCACCACTGTTCCGTTTTTCTTGTGGTAAAAAAAACTCATTTTCGCAGAGGATTTAAATAACGCATTTCAAATAGTTTAAATAAGCATATCAGATAACATTTTACAACCTTTAAGAGTATATGTGGTTTGCATGTTTACCAGTGAGAACTTACATAACAAAGTCCCTGTTGTGTAAACACGGTGTGGTTCTGTCTAGGTACGTGCTTGACGACCAATACACCAGTTCAGGTGGGACCAAGTTTCCTATTAAGTGGGCTCCACCAGAAGTTCTCAACTATACGAGGTTCTCCTCCAAGTCTGATGTTTGGGCTTACGGTGAGTGTATTCAAATTATGTTAGATAATAGATATTGATTCTAAAACCTCAAACTATACACTAAAACAGTCTATATTTCTTCTGCCTCTTCGCTTAACTACTTGCTGCTTACCTTGTTGTACCTTTAGCTTGTAGTTCAATTTTGAAATCACATAATACACACCTATCTCCTCTACCACCATCACATTTCACTAAAAATTCTCTCTTCTCATATGTCCATACTATAATAGTCTTGCTTTTTCCATCTTAAGGTGTTTAAGACCCCTCTTCGAATAGCTTTATTCCTGATTACATTCCACCATCTTACACCCTTAATAGCCCTTTACAACATCAATTGTCTTTCTTTTACTCGCTTCCATTCCCTTTACTATCATTTCATTCTTCCACTACATACTTAATTTGGCCTGCTATTAGGCTCGTCCAATGCTATTTTTCCTCTCATTTGTACCTCCCTATCCCGCAGGTTTAGAAATCATACTAAGCCATGTAAGGAATTAAAAGTTTTAAGCTCTCTTTTAGATTGTTCATGCTTATGGTCAATCGTGCCTATTTGATCTACAGTAGGTGCTTAGTACCCATATTCTTCAACATTCATAGAGTAAGTTACCCCCTACTCATGTTTGGTGTTTTAATCATATTCAATTTCCAGGTGTTTTAATGTGGGAAGTATTTACATGTGGGAAAATGCCTTATGGTCGACTTAAAAACACCGAGGTAGTGGATAGGGTTCAACGTGGCATCATTCTGGAGAAGCCGAAGAACTGTTTCAAAGAAGTTTATGAGGTAAGTTCCAAAATAAATTGGTAAATCAAGAGATATAAATATATATGTTATATGTTAACAATAAAGTAAAACCCCCACAAATCATCCAATTTTGAGTGATCTATCAAAATAGTTTACAGTTGTTAGTCCTGAACAACTGAATCCATAGATTTAACCCTAGATGGGTATGGAACATAAATTCGACGTAGTGCGAGTTATCTTTAGCGTCTCACCCCCCACCCCCTCAACCGACAATACCCTCCTTCCGACAACTCTCTCAGCAGACATTTACCTTGCGATGGCTGCCTTGGTTGGGTCGTAGTGTGTTTCTTTATGCACTTGCTAGTCAGTTTCTTGAAACACACATCAAACTTACGTGTCAATACCCTTTGTGTATAGTAAAATGACCGGCTTATGTATGGTAAAATGGCCGACAGTACGTCGAATTTACGTATTGATACCCTTAGTGTCACACTGTATGACAATACCTTACTATACAATTCCTATGTACGTCAAATTTACGTATTGATATCCTTAGCGTCATGCTGTATGACGATTCCTTTCTAGGGTTAAAAACATGTTATTCCACTACAACCTCATTCTAGCAAAAACATTTTTTTCCATAATAAAATAATGAAGGTACAATTAAACCTCTTATCTCTCACTGTCTGATGTAGAAGGATCTAATAAAAACTAAACTAACAAAGATTTAAAGAAAAATAAGAGAACAAGATTTGAAAAGATTCAGGTAACTTAGTTGCAAAATCTAAATATAAAAAAATTACCATAGTATCTCAGGGTCTGTTGGATGATTGACTTTCATCATTGTCATTGAGGTGATGTTCCAGGTTATGTGTTAGTGTTGGTGTTCCAGGTTGTGCGTCATTGTTGGTGTCATAACCCCAAGGATAGACCATCATCCATCACATTCGAGGACCAGTTGTCTGTGGTATCTCAGGGTCTGTTGGATGATTGACTTTCATCATTGACATTGAGGTGATGTTCTAGATTATGCGTCAGTGTTGGTGTCATAACCCCGAGGACAGACCATCGTTCCGCACACTTAAGGACCAGTTGTCCGTGGTATCTCAGGGTTTGTTGGCTGATTGACTTTCATCATTGACATTGAGGTGATGTTCTAGATTATGTGTCAGTGTTGGTGTCATAACCCCGAGGACAGACCATCGTTCCGCACACTTAAGGACCAGTTGTCCGTGGTATCTCAGGGTCTGTTGACTGATTGACTTTCATCATTGACATTGAGGTGATGTTTCAGATTATGCGTCAGTGTTGGTGTCATAACCCCGAGGATAGACCATCGTTCCGCACACTCAAGGACCAGTTGTCCGTGGTATCTCAGGGTCTGTTGGCTGATTGACTCGCCCTACTACATGCTCTCGTGCCCTGCCCTCTTTGTGCTCTGCTGTCCCTCCAGTAGCAATGTTAGCTACTAGTTAAACTTCTATCATCATTAGTCCCAGATGTGTGAACCAAACCATTTCATTCGTGATGCACCATTATCAAATACTTATATTCTTACAACTATGTAGTAACTTCAGGATTGGGCGACAGTGGAATATTTGGTTCAGACTTCTGTTGACTAATGCTTTTAAACATCTTATCCTTCAGCAGCCTTTTGAATTGTTGTTTTGCGCCTTTTGACAGACTAATAGGTAATAACTTTTATAGTTGGTATTTTTATAACCCTACAGACGTAACAATCCTAAGCAATTAAAGATTTGCCCCATTACAATTTATTGTATTTTCTTTATCATGAAGCAATACAATTTTAAACATTCTCAAGAAATTGTTCTGTCTAAAAAGAAACAGCTGATCTTAATCAGTAACAAAGCTACACAAACTTTGAATTGTCTCAATTCATCACTAACCTTGCATTCACTTTCTGCTTAAAATTTTGCACATAGGTGTTTATTGCTGCCTTAATGAAGTAAATTGCCACGATTTTAATTTCAATTTCCCTAAGACCATATTTTAGTTCGTTGCTGTATGGCTTTTTGTACCGTGCAGTATTTTTCGGTCTAAATTAAAATCACCAAAATTGGAGTTTCAAGAGAAAATACAGGAGTTGTATTATTTTGATATAATTTGACAACATTTATTCCTGTAACATACCAGCTGGTTTTTGTACCTTTTAGTTTGTCAAAAGCTGTTTTCCCAAAGCTGCTAATCCAGAACTATTAGTTTGGATATCTCGTTAAATGGTAATTTTAAAATGTGTCCAGTAAATAGATCTGGCCTTGTGATATATTTATTAAGTTAATGTGTATATTTTCCAACCTCTTTGAAGTGACTTTTGAGCACAAAACTTTTAAATAAAAGTATGTTGATTTTTTTTATAGATAAATATCACAATAAACATTAATTTTACATAAATATAAATTTTATTATGTTTGGTTGTGGCATCAGCAGTTTTCTGTCTTTGCTGTAGTATATTCAATAATTTGGTTTTTGCATCAACGGAATGATCGTACATAATAATGTAACAATCACTGCCTTTCTGACACAACAATTGTTTGTGTTTATATGGTAAAGGCTTGTTAAATAATAATTATGAAATTTACTTTTTTTAAGTTATTAATAATTCAGATCAGGCTGATAAGAAACTACTACAAACCGCAATGGTTTTCTTTCAACTTGTCTATTAAACTCCATCTTTTATTTAATTAAACTCTTTGTATACTTTTAATCCGTTTCTTCCCACTTATTTCACTTCATTGTACTTAATACTTTAATAGTTAAGTAATTAGTCATTATTTTGAGCTTTATGCTTCGAGTTAAACCTAATATTTCTCATCAGTTGAGTGATTTACTTTTTTTTTATTTAGTCCAATTTTTTTATGTCTAAGAAGTAAAATCTCTTAGTTTACACTTGCACAGCCACAACTCAAAAATAAAACCAGGATTGAAATAGTCATGCAGGTTTTTTTAATAAGTTTTAATTTTTTGTTTGTTTTAAATAGGCCTATATATTTCTTAGGTGGGAGGATGATGTATTTGTAAAACAGAAATTGGCATTTGTAACTCTTATTACAAGGATATGTAGTTCCTAATATGTCTAGTAATACTTCCAGCATCGAGCCTATGAATGTGTTTTACAGTTTTTGTCTCATGAGTACTATGAAATAGGTACACAAATGTCATATTTTGCAGTTTCTTATTTAAATTGTTGGATTGGATCATAAAACATAAGTAGGCAATGGAGTGTTGTAAAAAGGTAAAATGAAGTGATAGAAACCATAAGTAATAGATATCTATTGATTATTGATCATTCATAAAGAGATGTTCTAGAGTCAATATAGTGGTAGAAGGTCTAAGTCATAGGAAGGATAAACTTAGGCAAACCTTAGGCACTCATCATAAGTTCATGTCAACCTTGCTTATCAAACTGAGAAAAACTGCTGTCTGACAAGACTAGGGTTTGGTCTGTTACTTTGCAATAAACGTAAAAAATGCCAACATCATAACAAACTCGAAAGAATACATTTTTCATGCAGCACAAACATCCATATTTTATACATGAGTTGCAGGTCTAAAGTTGCTCTTTTCCCCCTAGGGAGTAAAAATAAGCTGTTGTAAACTGTGATTGTAAGTAATCCCATAGGATTTGATACATATATCAAAAGTATGTATAGATTGTTTTCATAGGTTTTAGCATTCTGTTGTATTATTGTCAATATTTCGACATTTCAATAGTACACTTACACATAATTGGCAAAATCTATCTATATACTTATTTCATACGCAAGCAGGATTTTGTGACAATTACTCCTCCAAAACTACTGAACCAATTGACATGTTTTTGGTGTCATTGAAAAGAGCGTAACTTGAAGCTGTGCAGGAAACTTTCTTTTTAGGGAAATAATTAGAGAGTGAGGCCCCCCGGGCCCTTTAAAGTTTTGTATTTCTCCATAAGATTAACATGCGAAACAAAAATTGTTATGAAACTCCAGCTGTTGTCAGAAATTAAAAGTGAGAAGAAGAACATATGTTAATAATTGTAAACAGTCAATAAGTTTGCTACAAACATTTAATGACTTGGTTAAAATGAAATATTTCAAGTCAAGTCAAAGTCAAATAAATCTTTATTCAGACATACAACAATGTGTACATGAATGCGTCTTAATCTTAAACTATAACTAATACTAAAAACCATTTTCCTGATCCATTTTATCTTTTATTTTTTTTACATATTTACATGTTTATTTACATATTTGAACATAGTGCAGTAAATTCTTCAAAATTATAAAACTCTCCACTAATTAGAAAATTCTTAAGCTTTTTTTTGAACTTATTTCCGTTTTCCTCATTTCTGATGCTACAAGGGAGGGAATGAAAAAATGTAACCCCAATATAATCAGGGCTTTCTTTAAATTTTTCTTTTTTATGCTTTTTAATTATGAAATTTTGTTTGTGTCTAGTATTGTAAGTATGTACATCTTGCTGTCTTTGCAGTTGCGACTCCCGGCTTTTAACATATAATATAGTCTTATATATGTAGAGGCTGTAAACTGTAAAGAATTCTAATTCTTTGAAACGATTTTTACATGATTCATTTTCATTTAAATTAAGGATGCACCTTATGGCCTCTTTTTGTAAATGTAAAATTTCATTTAAGTTAGATTTATTTGTTCCACCATAAATTTCAATACCATAAGCAATATGGGAGTGTATATTTGAATAATAAACCACACGCAAAATTTCTTTACTGCAAAGGGGATATAGTCGTCTTAAAGTAAAAATACCGGAGCTAATTTTATTACATATTTTATTGACATGTGAGGTCCACTTTAGTGTGCTGTCCAAGGTTAGACCTAAAAATTTGGTTTCACATGCAAAATTTTCAAATATCTTTTCGCCAGACTTTTTACACTCAAATTTGATAAAGGTTGTTTTGTTTTCATTAAGTAAAAGGTTTTTTTCATTTAAGTAATCTCCAATTATTTTGAGCGAATCTTTCATTTTTATTTCTAGAAGTTCAATATTCTTTTCATGTATAGACATACTTATGTCATCTGCATACAAGCAGAGGGCATTGTTTTCTACCCGTTCAGATAAATGTTTTGGCATCCCTCCCAAGTAGCACAGGAACAGGAATGGACCCAACACAGATCCCTGAGGAACAGAATACTTAACTTCCCTAACATTAGATCTAACATTGTACATCTTATTTCCATCTAAATACCCAATGTTAACAAACTGTTGGCGGCCCTCTAAATAAGATTTTATCCAGTCCAGTTCTTTACCACTAATTCCATATGCTCTGAGTTTTTGCAGTAACTTTAAATGATTCACGCTATCAAAAGCCTTAGACATATCTAAAAAGGCGCCAACAACATAATAATTGTCCTCATCCAACTTATGTAATACATTTTCAATATAAGAAATTAGAGCTGTAGTAGTAGATTTATTTTTTCTATATCCATGCTGTTCTTGATCTAATAAGTGGTTATTTTCAAAATAATCTACTAGTTGAAAAAGTAAACTTTTTTCAAATAGCTTTGATAGAGCAGGTTGAATTGCCAATGGTCTATAGTTTTGCGGATCTTTTTTATCACCTTTTTTATATACTGGAATTATTTTTGATATTTTTAGTTGAGCGGGAAAAACGCCTGTTATTAGTGATGTATTAATCACATGTAAAAGTGGCTTTAACAAAACAGATTTTGATTCTTTAATAATTTTGATTGGAATTTCATCATAACCGGATGACCATTTAGGTTTTATTGAATCAATTATGGATGTCAAAATTGATTCATCGATGGTTTGACACCTAAATTTTATGTTTGAAATACTTTGATCAGAATGTTGTTGGGTTTTCTTTAATTTTGGTAAAACATTTTTGTCAACCATCTCAGCAAAATTATCATTTAAGATGTTTGCGACAGCATATGGTTCTTCTATTTTTTTGCCGTTATGTTTGAGTGAAATATTACTATGACATCTTTCTTTTTTACTTTTTGTTTCAGTGTTCACAATTTTCCAAACAGTTTTGTTAACATTGGTAGAATTTCTAATTTTATTCTCAAAATGGGTTTTTTTCTTAAGTTCTATCATATTTTTGTATCTCTTCTTGTGTTCCTTAATATAATTCTTCAATGCTATGTTACTTCTATCATCTCTATATAAGTCATGTTCTGCAATTATTTCATGACGCTCATTGATAATTTCATCATCAATCCATCCATTATTTACGTTACTGGAAACTATTTTTGTTTTAGGGAAATGTAAATTGAAGTAATATTTTAAAATGTTATAGAAATAAGTAAATTTGTCTTCCACATTACAGTTATAAAGTTTTGTCCAATCCTCTTTGGAAAGGTCATAAATGAAAAGGTTAATGCTCTCTTGTTTATACCTCCTTTCATACTTATGTATTTTAAGATTTAAACTGTTTTTTGTACTTTTTGAACTGAGGATTTTAAAAAGTTGTCCATCATGATCTGACAATGCTGTAATTAAACATTCTACTTCAAAAAAATTGTTATCTAAATTAGTAATAAAATTATCAATGGCAGATAAACTCTTTTCAGCAACTCTAGTTGGAATTTTAATTGTATATTTAAAACCATGCATCTGCAAAACATTAACAAACTTCTTTTTCTTATTGTCTTCCCTCAAAACATCGATATTAAAATCGCCCCCCATTAAAATTTTTTTATTATATTTACTTAAAATTTTCAAAAGTTCACTTAGTTTTTCCAAATATATATCAACGTCTTGTGATGGTGTTCTATATACCCCAGCCACTAAAAATTTTTCTTTGCCTACTTTAATTTCTGTTACACAAGATTCAAAGATTTTATCTTGATTAAGCGCCTGTAATGAACTTAGCATTATATTTTTGAATTCAATTTTTTCTGACACCAAAATTAATACCCCCCCTCCCCCGAAATCTGTTCTAGTGTACCAGGTTGAAACTTGATACCCTGGTATTTTGAGTTTTGTTATTTCATGTTGGTTTAATTTATGTTCAGTCAAAATTATAATATGTGGCTTTAATTCTTCAATTGTGATAATTAATGAGTCAATTCTAGTTGCTAGACATTGTATGTTTTGATGGAAGACAGATATACTACATGATTTCTTATCATTATTGATCTTAGAAGTTAATTCTAAAGATTTAGGTAGTACACTCACTTTGCTACCAGGCATGGCCATGCCTGGGAGTTTAAAAAGTGACTTGTGGAGGTCTGATTACCAATATCTTTCAGTTGCATGGTTTCACATTCCAAGTTGATTTTTTTGTTTACATTTTCTGAGCTTATATCTATTAAAGAGTCATCTTCAGGTATGGGATTTAAAGAAACATTCACTAATTCACCAATCACTTGATTGCCCATATCACTTTGAACACCACTTTTTTCTTCTCGAGATGATAGAATGGACTCAGATTCAGGATTGCGGTTGCTCGTCTCAGATTCAGGATTGGTGTTGCTCATCTCAGTCAGGGAAGGTGAAGATACATCAGTCGGCTCGGTAGTAGGGTGGTTGGTGCTAACTGACAGTGTCAGCAATGCAGGTTGTATACTTGATCTTAGATGTTCTTGATCTTCTCTGTCAGCAATACAAATAGGCCTGGTTTTTTCAGTATTTACTCCCTCAGTATTTTTACCACAGGAGGTGTCAACTAAGGCCTTTTGTCCAGCACATCTCTCGAAGTATTCGTCAACTATTATTTGCTTCAGGTACTTTACAAAAGTTGATTGCTTTAATCTATTTTTTAGAAATTTGTGTGGGTCTTTTTTGCCTGTTATGATAAAAATAGTAGCTCCCGTTACATTTTGAAATTTCAATAAATTGGTCACAAAATGCTTGGGTGGGACTCGATCACGATTACAACCCATAGTTGAACATATCAGAATTTGCAGATTTTTAGCCTTGAAATCTTCCGCTAGTTGAGAAAAGGCTAGATTGTAGTTATTTTTATATTCAGTTAAGTTGTTGAAATTTTGAAAAAATTTAGGTTTTGTAATAAGACTGTAAACAGCTGCTCCCGTTTTAGTTTTTTGATATGTCAAATTAGTGAAACAATGGTCCTCCTTAGTTGGTCTTCCAAATTTGTCTCTGAACACAGTCGCAACCCCTTGACTCATATTTTTCTCAGTATTGTCAAGATCTGCTGAAATGCAGTGTGCATATGAAACTTCTGATCTACAGCAATGTTTGTCAATATAAGTATCCATAGAATCCTCAACAACTTTTAAAAATATTTTCGATTCTATTTCTTTCAATCTTTTTGTAAGGGTCAGGTTTGAGGCAGTGTCAGCAATTCTTCTGCTCAGCAACTGTTTTCCGTGTTTGTTCAAGTGTTGCCCATGAATGGTGAAAAATCTACGTTTAAAATCACAAATACTAACAACATTAAGATGTCTCATTTTTTTCAATTCACTGTTGACTGCATGTGTTTCTTTATTAATAGGGTGGTCCCAAGATAAGTCAAAACGGTAGGGGAGCGTAACGTAAATGATGTTTGTTTGGCTGTTAGTTGTGGCAAATTTGTTTAAGACCGCTGGAATGTTATCTTCACTATTCTTCATTTTTATAGTTGTGTCTCCGATGTCATTGGCACCTGCAATTACTACTGCTACATCATTCTCCTTAAAATCTTTGATCTTGTTATTTGTTTTTTCTAATATGTGATCCAGTTTACCTCCTGAGCTTGCTAAAACAAAGGTGTCAGTGGATCGGGGCATCAATGATTGGATTAAGTTTCCCAAATCTTTGCCGTGGCTATCTGCAAACACATGTAATTTGGAGCACCGAGATTGACTCCTGTTTCTGTTTGATAAATTCACCATGTTTGTATCTGATGATAGTTGTTTGTTGTCTCGATGTAGTTTTGCTGCATATTTGGTTTTCTTACATGTGCTGTCCCTGCAAATAACTTTGTCCTTATATGAAGGCGTTGCATGAATTGGTAACCTTTCTTCTTCTGGTTGATGACTATTCAGTGAAGAAAACCTATTCGATATTGTTGGATAATAAGTTACAGCATGTTTTGGTCT